TTATTATTTTGAATCTTTTTTGTTCACAAAGTTTTGCTATTTGAGCGCGTCTGCTTAAATTTTACTTTTTCGGACCCGACGGGGCCCGTTCGGGGCACTTTTTGAGATTTCTATAAAAGGGGGGTGAGATGTATCATTTTTCATCTTCTCCCCTCTTTATGCACGACCTGGAGCTCCCATGGCAGCCCAAGGGGTGCTGCCATCTTCTCTCTCCTCTTTTGGTTCACTTTTCCTTGATGGAAAGTCTTCGGCCTTAACATTTGTTGTTCCCCTCGCCATGCTCTACCTTTCCCCCTTATTAGAATTCATTTTTGACTATTTATTGAGTTTGGTGTTGAGGTCAAGTTATGATTTTGATGGGGTTTTCATGGGAGTTATGTTCACGGCGTTGTCCTCGACAAAACCTAGTAGTTTCGTCGAATTCGCAGCCGTTCCATTTTGGTGGGCCTTTGGGATTTTCATCTCAAATTGAGGTAGGAGATGTTCTAAGTTTAAATTCTTGTTATATAGCATGCTTGTGATGCTTTGTTTGCATGAAACTATATGGCATGTAAATCAAGAATATCAAGTCGGAATTTAAATAGAGTGAATAGTGCACTCGGGGCAAATTAATTAATTAATAATTACTAATTTTCAAAACACCTCCAATCACTTTCAAATTCAACTATGTTGGAGAGCATGCTAATGCCTAATTTAATATGCTAACATATATTGATTTTAAGCTAGTTAAAGCCATTTGAATTAATCTTTCACCTAAGATAAATATTAAATAAAATCTTTAATACTTATTCAAATGTTCCAATTTTAATACACGACAATGAGCATATCAATGGGTGAACCCGTACAAGAAAAATAAATAATAAAATTTAGAGATTTTATTATTTATTTTTCTTATACGGGATCTAATTTTCCCGGTTGCTCATGACTTGGTTTAAACATGTAGCATGATTTTATATTGCCCCTTGATATGCTCATTGTCGTGTATTAAAATTGGAACATTTGAATAAGTATTAAAGATTTTATTTAATATTTATCTTAGGTGAAAGATTAATTCACATGGCCTTAACTAGTTTAAAATCAATATATGTTAGCATATTAAATTAGGCATTAGCATGCTCTCCAACATAGTTGAATTTGAAAGTGATTGGAGGTGTTTTGAAAATTAGTAATTATTAATTAATTAATTTGCCCCGAGTGCACTATTCACTCTATTTAAATTCTGACTTGATATTCTTGATTTACATGCTATATAGTTTCACATATATTTGATTTAGAATATTCGGTTAGGTTTTGAAACCTTTTGTTTAATTAAATTTCATGTTTAAGATTTAATCTTCATGGTGATATACAACTTGGAATTGTATTGTGGCATGCTAGAAAATTAAGTTTTGGTATGGTTGTTCACATGTATTAAATTGGGATTTATTGCATGAAAATTGTAACTTTTATTTTATATTTAACTTTAGTGAAGGTTTAATTCGCATGGTCGTAAATTGAATGAAATAAACTTGTAATGTGATATTACATTAGTTCTTGGCATGTTTTCCAACATAGGTTAATTTGAGAGCATTTGGTTAAGTTTGAAAATCAAGAGATTTTAATTCAAAGACTTAATTAAAATCTATTTTGTGGTCCCATTAGCTTAATTAAGGCTTTAACTTGATATTTGTATTGGCCATGACTTGTTTACTAGTATATATTAATTTGGGACTATTAGAAGTTGTTTTAGAATCTTGGTAATTAAATTAGCATGATTTAATTAAAGTTCTACTTTGTTGTTCCAACAACCTAATTGAGTTTTAGAATAGATATAGGTGATGACCATGCCATGCCCTTTAACATGTATTAAATTGAGGTTATTTGGAATTGAATCGGAATCTATAGAATTTAATTATGTTTATTTATTTAAATTCTATCAATTTGCTCCATGATCTAGTTGTGTTTTAGAAGTGGTTTCTATATTCAAATCATGGACTTAGACTTATTGTATATTCATTTGATTATGTTTTGAACATTGGATAACATAGTTGCTATGTTTGTATTTATGAGAATATGTTTTCCTTATTGAATGTATTGTTGCCTTGTATAATGATTTGCACACTTCGTGTTTAACATCTTTCATGCATAGCGTATAACGAATCGCACACTGAAGATTCGACATTCATCATATCATATTAGTTGTGGATTTAGAGCATGTATTGTATAGGTTTCCAAATTTGGTTGTGCTTAGTAGATAGTTGATTATCTTGCATATTCCTGTTGATATATGCGTTGTTGCACAACTTGTTGATTGTGGAAACTTAGGGATGTCGTTATTTGACTATGGCTAGGATGTGGTTCTAGTACGGGGGATAGTCCCTCTATATGGTCTAGTGCGTACATAGGGAGGTTACCCATGGGCTAGTAACCCTAAAGTAACTATGTTGTCGATCTGATCCGGCATGACGTCCGAGTATCCACTTTGTTTGATTTTGCATTTCATTTTCAAGTTAATAATTAGATGATGTTGTAACTTGTTGTTTCTTATTTGTCGTTCCATTTTAAGTTATAGGATGTTAACTTCGCGAAATTATGCTTTATGCATTGTATTGGAAGTTTTAATGTTGGTTAAATTGCATCGATATTGAAAATCGTGTTTTAACGTTCTAATAAAGCTTAGGATTGATCCTATTGATTCATTTATAAATAGACGTTAGGTGGCATGAACCACTACTGTTATTTTGTGCTTTAGATTCTAAGTTGATGGCTTTAAGAACTTAAACCTTGTTGCATTGTATAACATGCTCTTTTGTTGTTGAATTGCATGGATAATGTGATTCTTGTTAACTTGTATTCAAATATGCTTTTGTCATGTTGTATGGATTACTCTAGACCTAGTTCAATTGTATTGAAAATGCAATTCATGTTAATCTATGCTCAAGCATTCTTCTTATCGTGTTCTTTGGATATCCCAACCATGATTCGTTTCATACACGTATGTATAACATGATTCTTGTTGCTTAGACTCTATGGTAGCTTAGGATGCTCCCCGAGTCTCACTTGGACATAGACGTTAGGTGGCATGAGCCCTTTTAACATGTTTCACCTTAAGGTGATAAATTTGTAAAATGCTAGATCGATGCATGCTCATCTCCTACGAGTAGCTTTATGTTACTCATCCCTACGATACTGGGGCATATTTCAGGTACGAAGACTTGGTTCGTGAAGCCTAGCATTCCTTGGATGTCGTGTAGCTTTCAAGTTTTCATTTCATGCGAATGTTAGCATGAAATGTCATTTTGTAGACTTATATGTCAAAACATGTATATTTGATTCCATGTATGTAATGTGTACTTCAGTACACTTCTTTCAATGTATTTGATATGTATGAGATGAGGCCGGAGGCCAATGACCATTATATTGTGTTCTATGTACTTTTTAACTTCGTGAAATATTGTGAAAATTTTGAAAAATCGCAAGTCATTGTTTCACCATGGTTGCATCGGGTGTGAGAATTCCATTTTCATTCTTTCATAGGGTCTTATTAATCATGTTTGAAGTGTGGCCAAGGGCCAAACGGTCATTTGATCCCGTTTTGTATTTTTGGATTCCGAATTTTCATTATAAGTTCCATTTTTGCCTTTTTGCCTTTTTGCCCGTTGGGGGGTCGAATTTTGTATCGGTGGTATTTTTAAGTCGTGGACCATTGTAGCACGTCCAAATAGGTAAGTTACATTTGCGTGCATGGTCGTTTCCGGATAAAACCTTATCGGTTGTGTTTTGAGCCTCTAGTGAATTCATTTCGCATTTTTTTTTGCATATTCTGATCTAGGGGCATTATGGACCTTTCACATCAGTTTTATTTTCTTCTTTTGACATGGTTGAATAGAAAACATGATTTTAGGGGGATTTCTTCTTCGTGTTTTTCTAGAAAATGTCGTCTTGGTACCGGAAATCCCTCGTGAAGTTTCAATTTCCAGTTTTCATTTAGCAGCTTTATGACCCTTTTGTTTAGTTCTGATCTAGGGGCATTTTAGGAATTTTACAGTGAGTTTTTTTCGATTCTGTCCGAGATGTCGGGTAGAAAACTCGATTTTAGGGGGGGTTTCTTCTTCGTATTTTTCTAGAAAAACTCGTTTTGACCTCCGTTTTAAGCCTCAGTTCTGGGCAGATAAAATAAATGTAGCAGCAGCCAAGGGCTGCCACCAGCCATGTCTTTGGGCGTTGGCATGCGCGCCGGTGGGCTCGCGCATGGGCGCCGTGTGCGCCATGGCCCTCGTCGGGCCACCGCGACGTCAATTCTTCTTTTGGGTTTTTCTCTTTCGTTCGGACTCCGATTCAAGTGAATTTTTTTTTGAACTTGACCAATTTTTCGCTATCTTTCCAACGGTGTGCTCGGTTGCACCCGGTTCTTCCTGGATAATTACCAATTTGCCCTTAAAGCTTTAAGTGTCCGTTTTTCGTCGTCATGCCGTTTCTCCCTCGTCCGGACTCCGAATCATGCGATTCTTAAGTCCATATGGATTAGTTTTTCGTTGTCCTTCCAGCGGTGTGCTCGGTAGCACCCGAATCCACATTTTTCAAAAATAATTATTTTGCCACTGGGGGCTTATTTGTCATATTTCTGACCTTTTGCTTCCGCATCAGTTCTCATTGAGTTCTACGACCTCATGAAAGATCACTTTGACTTATTTGAGTCTTGTTTTTTGTGTTCGCTTTCGCTTATCGGATCCATTATCAGGTCAACCTTTGGTTCATCATAGGATACGTTGGCCTAAAAATCAGAGTCGTCACAAAACTACTTATCCAAATGTAACTAAAATCTAAAACTAAAATGTTAATCGACATAGATTTGTGAGTCTAATTTATACTTAAAACAAAAGTCATACTAATTAGGTAATGATACCACGTTACAATTTAAGATCTAAGAAATAGTTATCGGTATATTATCTCGGAATCTTTCAAATCGAATCCTAGCTGTCCTTCCATTTTTTTATACTACGTAATACAATATAATTCGGTTGGTCGGTCTATCATTTCTGTCCCCAATTCAAATCAGAGACTCTCTCTAGAAAATTACACTTTCAATTACAAAATCCTCCGCTTCCAATCTCTTCTCTTCTAAGGTCTCAATCCATGGCTTCTCGAAGGCGCATGCTTCTCAAGGTCATCATCCTCGGAGACAGCGGGTATGTCAACCTTTTATCTCATCTCAGATTCCCTCCTGTTTTCTGTTTGGTTCTCGAGGAAACTGAACAATAATATTATATTCAAAGAAAATTTCAAATCTTGTCTCTCGTGTTGTTTTGGCTTCCAAAGCAAGATGATTGTCTTTTGCAATTATTAAGGGAACGAAATTGTGGAAAACAAATCTGAGTGTCGAGAATTTAGTAGCTTCTCTCTTATTACTACTTTTGTCTCTGTAATCTTTAAGATCAACGCTGCCTGTTCTCGTTCAATTTACGTTATGTGTTCAGATGCAATGTATTACTTGAAAATTCACTTTATTTGTGAAGGTTTTTCTTTTTTCCAATGAGGGTTTATTTATTTATTTTTTTGTTTTGTTAGTTGCATAGAATTTTGTATTAATTTGGATTTGTTTGATTTTGGCAGGGTGGGGAAGACATCCCTCATGAATCAGTATTGTCGTAACCCTAGATTTTGGAATTACGATTGTTTATTGTTTTAGTTGTGTGTAATTTGGTATGTGATCACTACCTAATTTTTTGTATTTAGGTATGTGAATCGTAAGTTCAGTAATCAGTACAAAGCAACTATTGGAGCTGATTTCTTGACAAAAGAAGTTCAATTTAATGATAGGCTGTTCACATTACAGGTGATTTTTTCTGTAATTCTATTATTTTTCCATTCCTTAGTTACTTGTGTAAGTTTGCCAATGGATGCATGTATCATTTATCATAATCAATGTATTGACTAGCATACGTTATTTTGCTTCGAATATCGATTATGATACAGATAATTGAAAGTAGGTGGTTAAATTCCATTTTTATGCTGCGAGAAAGGATGCCTTGTAGAGTAGTTAACATCTATTATCAAGAAGTCCAACAACATTTGTAGAAGCACATATATGGTTAGTGTCCATTATCAATTTTCTAGCTATATGGAATTTCCAAAATATGGTGGTTGTAAATCTAGCAGGCCAGCTGCTGGGTGCTTAGAGTAGAGAATGTTTCCACCCAATATCTCTTTTGCCTTTTGATATGGATTTTTGGAGTATTGACAGATTTTTGAAGTTTAATAAGAGAAAAAATTACTTGAATCTAGTGTTAATGGTAGGTAGCTTCACATGTATTCTGGGATTGGATGCAGAATGTGGGAATAGAAGGAAAAAAATAAAAATAGTAACAAAACTTTTACCTTCTACACTTGTTCGTCAAATGTGGCTCAGTATTTATACACACAGACATGGTGTATTACTACACAACAATGGAGGGCCATTTTTTTCTTTGATCCCACTCCTAGTCCCACCTCCCGCAACCACCTAATTCCATGAGATTGTTCGGATTTTTGAGTTGAAGTGTCAATTGAAGTGCTAGGTTTTGCAAGGTGAAGATTTAGGAACAATGGGACTACGAAGATAGCAATTGCCTTTTGCAAGGTGTGAATTGGGAATCGGAAGGCAAAGTTAGCACCAAGATCTACTGGGCCCTTTGAGATCACGGAGAAGATTGGGCATGTGGCTTACAGATTGGCCCTACCCCTAGCTTGTTAGCAGTTCATGATGAATTTCACGTGTCTATGTTGAGGAAGTGCCTGAGGGATGAGTCACAGGTGGTCAATCAAGACACGATAGTGCTACCTTCGGATGTGTCATATGTTGTGATGGGGTGGTGAAACAACTCGACGCAAGGAGATAGCCTTAGTGAAAGTATTGTGGAGCAACCATAGGAGGATGAAGCCTCTTGGGAAATAGAGTCAGAGATGAGGAGAAATATTTGCAATTGTTTGAACCAGGTGCGCAAATTTCGAGGACAATATTTATTTTAAGGAGTGTAGTATGTAATGACCCTAAATTTAATTAGGTAAATCTGTTTCTTTGTTTAGGACAATATGATATCATTACTTTATTAATAGTTGGATTAGTTTACTATCCCTGATTGGGATAATGCAATTTTGAAAGCATACTAAATGGGTATCCAAACAAGGGGATAAGATACCCAGTATAAGTGTGAAAGGCATTTGGAACTAGGGTTTCACCATTTCCTCTATCATTTTTGATAAAGGAAGAAATTGAAGAAGGGAAGAAGTATTGAGAGAGAAGAAGAAAACTAACAAGGAAATAATTATATCTTGTATTGTAAATGTTATTCTCTTATCTTCACAATAATTACTCCCTCTGTCCCAAAATAAGTGTCCACCTTTCCATTTTTATCCGTCCCAAAATAAGTGTCTCATTTGAAAAGTCAATGTACTATTTTTTGTAACATTACCAATTTAACCTTCTTGTATTGAACCTATGAAAAGTTAACCATCATATCAATGTGGACCCACTGGGGGTAAATTTGTTAATTCATTCACTACTAATACAATAATAAATAAAAAAAATCATTCTCTTAAAAAGTTAGATTCCCAAAAAAGGACACTTGTTTTGGGACAGAGGGAGTGTTATATTTTGTTATTTAGAATTCACAAATTAAATTTAGAAAATGATCATGTAAGCTCAATACTCTATATACATGGGTTTTGTGTATTTGTGATTAACTTGTTTAAGGGATTTTGATGGTAATTGATTATGGTGAGGGGATTGACGTAAGCCTTAATATAACTTGTTTAGATCCAAACTTTTTGTACTTTGTGTTAATGACACTATCATATATACATACATATATATATATATCTGAACAGTGATCATAACTTAGATGAATCTATGCTTAGATGAATTTATGTGAATTCATGGGTTGACGATGAGTACAGGAGAATTGATAGTATTCTTTGACGATCTTAGTGTTGTATTGTATAACCATCATGAGTGATTGAAGTAATTTGATGTGGTTTGTGGCTGTTGTGAAGAAAATGAGGGTTTGAAACCCCAGAAATTTTGAATTTGGGGACAACTAAACTAGACCTTGGTTTTGGGGGACTCTTGGTCCAAGATGTTGTATGATCCATGGGGTTTGGTTGGTACAGGTTGTGACTGGTTTGGTGGCCGTGGGTTGCTTGAAAAGATGGTGGAACTGGCTGGTAGTGTACAGGGACGGAGTGCAAAACGTTTTGGGTCTTTATTTGGAGAAGAAGACCTTTTCAATCTGGCCAGCAACTTCCCCATGTGCGTCGGCGATGTTAGTAATACAATTTAGTATTAATTTTTAGTCCATGCATTCATAGGATGTGTGTGTGTGTGGTACCAGTGAGGATAATGGCGATGCAAAGGTTGTGATGGCCGCATTGTGTGTGTGTCCTAATATTTTTGATGCACCAATTTTGTGAGCTAAGCGAGCTCAAGCGGTGGTATTGTGAAAGTGTCCCTTGGGTTGGTTGTGCATCTCCATACCACTTGATAAGTGCTTTGGTACCTATCACTACAATAGATGATGAGTGGGGTTGTGTATCTCCTCCACATTACTGGGAGAGTTGTGCATTCTCCTTGCTACAAGAAAAACAAAGTGTGTGGATTTGATTAAGAGTTTAGAAACGCACAACGGGTTTTAGTTGCATCTTGATCATGCATTTAGAGTACATACTATTGTTAACACACAAAGTTTGAATCTAAACAAGTTCTGTTAAGGCTTACGTCAATCCCTTCACTATAATCAATTACTATCAAAATCCCTTAAATAATAGTACATATATTTAATCACAGATACACAAAACCTATGTATAAACTATCGGGCTTACATGATCATTTTTCAAATTTAATTTGTGAATTCTAAATACCGAAATATAATTATTATTGTGAAGAAGATAGAATTCTACTTACAGTATAAGATGTAATCCTTTCCTTGCTAGGTTGCTTCCCCTCTCTCAAGACATCTTCCCTTCAATTTCTTTCTTTGTCTATAATGGTAAAGGAAATGGTGAAACCCTAGTTGCAAATGCTTTTCACTTTTATACTTCGGATCATATCTCCTTGTTTGGATATCCATTTAGCATGCTTTCAAATTTGCATTATCCCAACAAGGGATAGTAGACTAATCTTACTATTAATATAGTGACAATATCATATTGTTCTCAACAAAGAAACACATTTACCTCATTAAATTTTAGGGGCATTACACTTTGAGAAGCCATTGGCCATGTGTTCTCACCGTATGCTATGGATAACACAAAGTATGTGTATATGTACATATTTATTTATATATACTCAAACACATGGTTATATATAGCTCTGTTTTTTCTTATGAATAATAAACCCAATTATTGTCGAATTGGGGTAATATTGATTCAATCCATGGAATCAATATTGACTGCTTCATAGGCGTCAAGTATGTATAATTATTGTTTCATATTTATACATCTCATGTATATACCTAGATATTGTTTCGTATTTATACATCTTATGTATATACCTAGATTTTATGTATATGTTTGAAGTCAATTGTCACGATTGGCGGCAAACGAGTCATTCTCTTCGTATAGATTTGCATAGAGGAATACATGGTGAAGTTTGAAGTTCATTGTAGTAAATCTATGGGTGGTGGTTTGAAGGTCATTGCTGCTGCTCTTGTTTTTGTGTGTGATTTTGATGGTGGAGTCGAGAGAAACATGTGTGCGAGAGAAACAGAGGCAGTTGTGGTGACAGAAGAAGTGAGGAATGGAGGCAATTTTTTTTGGATATATATGGGTATATATATATCTATAGAGAGAGAGGAGGAGATGGTGATTGTTGTGCCAGAGGATGGAAGGAACAGTTCAAAGAGAGAAATTGAGGAGGAAAAATATTAGGGATAGAGAAGGGTATAGAAAAGAAAATATGGATGGTAAGAGAGGGTAAAATAATCCAACAACATGCAATTGTTAAGGGCTGTTAGGTGACAAACACTGATAAGGGTGCAAGAGTGATTTAAAAAAAAAGTTTCATCCAATATTGATTACCCCAAACCTTAGAGGAGTTTAGGGTAATTTACACCCCCCTGACTTGCCGATGGAAGAAGGGGCCTTCACTTGGTCCAGTGGTAGAGAGATTCACACACTCTCTCGACTAGATAGATTCCTTTTGTCTGGTGATTGGGAGGAAAATTTTCCGGATGCGGTGCAAACGGCGCTTGCTAGACCAATTTCAGATCATATTCCATTGGTTTTAGATTGTGGGGGATTACGGAAGAGGAGATCTTCCTTTCGATTTGAGAATATGTGGCTTCGAGCGGAGGACTTTATTAAGAGGGTTCGTTCTTGGTGGGAGGGTTATGATGTACGTGGCACTTCAAGTTTTATCCTTGCGGGTAAGTTGCGACGCTTTAAGGAAGACATTAAAAGGTGGAATAAGGAGGAGTTCGGGAACTTGCCCTCTCTTTTCCCCCACTTTTCAGGATTGCTATGTACAGACACGCCTTGGTGTTTGACTGTTATCGCCTTGATAGTGGGAGAATGTCCTGGATTGTGCGCTTTGTGAGGAATTTTCCAGATTGGGAGATTGAGGACATCGTTGGTTTTTAGGAGATTGTGGATGGTGTTCCTAATTCTATTGTGTGGTTTCCTTACTCCCAGGGCCGCTGTGAGGTTTGTTCTTTCTAAGGTGTCTTATGGAGGCTCAAGGGGTTTTGTTCCTGTAGAAGGCTATTTGGCATTCTAAGGCCCCTCTTAAAGTGGCATTCTTTGCATGGGCATCTGTGCTTTGGAAGATTTTAACCCAAGATAATATGATGATGAGGAGACAAG